TGTGTTTTCATTCATGTGCTTTTTTTCTTTGTTTTGTTTTGTTGTTGTTTTTTTGAGATGGGGCATTAGCTATGCAAGCCTGGTCTTGAACTACAGCCACTCCCTGGTTTCGTTGCCTCCAAATTTCATTGTGGAACTCAAATTAGCATCTTTCTTCTAGGTTAATATTTTTATAGATCCATTAAATTAAGTCTCACAAATTATGTGTTTGCAGTTGTAAGGACTGAAATTTCCTCCTTACTGTGTATTTTATTATTTATCGAGGTGTTTGGAGGCAGGGTCTCATAGAGCCAAACCTGGCATTGAGCACCAGCGCCTTCTTGGTCTGTCAAGTCTTCTAGGCCCATTCCCGAGTGTAGGGCGATTCTATTTGTTAGGATAAATATTGCCAAAGGACAAGAGGCAAAACTAAAGCAACTAGAGATCAGGCAATGAGGTCACACACCTTTAATCCCAGGATTTGGTAGACAGAGTCATGTTTGAAAAGATTACTAGTTTGTTTCTGGCTACTCAGCCTTGAAATAATCACACAAAAACCATATTATTTGCAATGCTATTTGGCCAATAGCTTACATAATTCTGGCTACCTGCTAATTTAAATTAACCCATTTCCATTCATCTGTGTATAGTCAAAAGGCTATGGCTTACTTGGTAAAGTTTGTGAGTCTGTCTCCGGCATGGCTGCATGGTTTCTCTCTCAATCTGCCTTATTCTGCCAGAATTCACAATAGTTTAACCTGTCTAGCTCTTCTCTATGCTATCACAAGCTAAGGAAGATTTTTCTTTATTAAGCAATTGATTCACAGCATACAGAGGGGAATGCCACGTCAGAGTCAGATGGATCTCTGTGATTTCAGGGCTGCCATGGGCCACAGAAGATCAATGTAAAAATAAATCCAGGTGGTTTTGGCTCACACATTTAATCCCCACCTTAGGGAGTCACAAGCCTTTAATCCTACCAGTATATAGCATATAAATTGGGAGGGTAAAGAGCCAGCGACTCTTCAGTGCTCTTCAGTTCTTCAGGTTGAAGCTGAACTTCATACTTTGAGTTTTAATTAATTGTACATCATTAGGCTGCTTAGACCCTGGTTGCCCAGCTTTGGTACAGGTAAGAATAAATCACACATGCATAGGTTAACACTCCCACAAAACTAATTCAACCAATCAATGGATTAATGGAATCTTCCAGTTCTCCTTTGGTTAAGCTTTATTGTTTTCACATGAGGAGCTAAGACTCAGTCAGTATTGCCTAAGTAAATATAATCATAATGGGTTTTAAGCAGATGTACAGTCAATATCCCTGTGAGACAGAAGTACCTCAAAGGGACATGGGAGTACTTAGGGATGTCCTGAGGAGAAAGGAGCATAAAGGTACCTAGGAGCCCAGGATTGCCAGGCACTTGTGAGTATCTCCTCTCCTGTCCATGCAGACTAAAGACATGGAGGAGAGAAATGGGGTGAGTAGGACGTGTGACCTTATCCCTCTCGTTTCATGAGGGACATTAAAGGTGAGCAATCTCAATTAGGCACAAGAGACTGGTCTATTTGCCTGCTTCTGAATAATTTTTCTAAACGGAAATAAGATTTCAAAGAGCAGGGTATGGTATTTGGTGGACTAATGGTTAATCTGTAGCTGTGTCAGTTCTAATTGGTGTGGGAGAATTGTCTGTATTCTGTCAATCATATTTTAAATAAATGCTGATTGGCCAGACAGGAAGTATAGTCAGGAAAACCAGACAGGAAGTAGAGGTGGAGCAAAGAGAATGGGAGTATTCAGGGAAGGAAGAAGCTCCCTCCACCATTCCTGCCCAGAACACCGAAGAAGCAACATGTGAGCTGACAGCTGAAAAAGGTACCAAGCCATATGGCTAACATAGATCAGAATAATGGGTTAATATAAACTATAAGAGTTAACAAGAAGCCAGAGATAATGGGCCAATCAGTTTTATAATCTTATGGAGTCCTCTGTATGATTTTCTTTGGGGTATGCTGGCTGTGGGGTGCTGGGCTGGACAAATACCCCAACAAGCTGTCCCCTTCATGTTACATCTAATGATGAATGTCACAAGCTGACAGACATGAGATGAGCAGATATTAGAAGAACAACTGCGTGGTTATGCGGGAGCTCCTTCTGCTCCTTCAGCCAATAGCCACTGAGATACCAGCCCATTGGGGTGTGGTCTCTCTCTCTCTTTAAAAAAGCAGCGGCTGTCCTCCATTCTCTCTCTGGCTTCCAGCTCTGCTTCTGGCTCCTAGGCTCCTTTCCTGATTGTGCAGAAGGGCTGTTTGTTGTCTGGGATGGTGATCAGTAAGTTTTCCCCCTTTGAATAAATAACCATTCTGTTAATCATAATTCCAAAAGCAAGATGTAACCTGCCCTGCTGGAAAAGGTACTGAGCCAAATGGCTAACACAGACAAGAATTATGGGTTACCATAAGATGTAAAAATTAGTTAATAAAAAGACTGAGATAATGGGCCAATCTGTTTTATAACTTATGGAGATTTTTGTGTGATTATCTTTGGGGTGTACTGGCTGTGGAGTACTGGGTGGGACAGAAACCCCAACAAGCAGGCCCCTCATGTTACAGAATAGCACCCAAGGTGGATAACTGCATCCACAGAAAGCCCGAGAAAGCTTGGGAAAGAATAGAGTGAAGCATGTTTTCTTGGTAGCAGCAAATTCTCAGGTCTGCTCTGCTTGCTAGAGGCAAGCAAGAACTCTCATCTAAGAGAGGCTTCCTGACTCAGCTTCAGCTGCAAAACCCTGCAGCTCTTTAAGAGGTCCTGCCACAAAACACTTACATTGTGTTGATAAAAAGCTAACTGCATGCTTTTCGGTTTTCAGGCATAACAGGAAAAAAAGCTGTGCCATTGTAAAATGCCAGCTTTCTGGATCATACTGCGAGGGCAAACTCTGACTCTTTTAGGCAGGTGGTCCATGTGGTTAAGCATACTGCTGCAGCTTGCTTGCTGGCAGGGACCTTGAAACACCATAGAGTTGTGGCAATAAATGTGGATACAGTGGGTACCTCCACCATGAAGCTGGAAAGCTAAGGAATGGGGTGGTTCCAGCCGTCAAAGCCACGGCTTGAATCCTCTCCATACTACTTAGTAAATTAAAGGCTCATGTGATCAAAAAAAGAGAGAGCTAGATAGTAAAGGTAGATTCAAAGATAAAGAAAACCTCTACATGGTTTATTATGTGTTAAAATATATGTAGGATAAAGGTTAAAGTTCTTCAAGTAAAAAAAAAGAGAGAGTAATAGGGTGTGGTGGTACACACCTTTAATCCCAGCACTGGGAAGGCAGAGACAGATGGATCTCTGTGAGTTCAAGACCAGCCTGGTCTACAAGAGTTATTCCAGGACAAAGATGTACAGGGAACCTGTCTCAAAAATTAAAAATAAACAAAATAGAGGTTAAAATAAAGCTGCACAAAGATGGAAAATACAAAGAGAATCTTGATACTGTATGCTATTATGCTCTTTTTGAATTATTTGAATGCTGAGGAAGGAGCGACAGCTGCTCAAAGATATTTGTTTATAAACGCTGCTGAACTAATTCAACATGGATATTTTGAAAATGCCTGGACTTCAAAATTTGGATCTAAGGTTATGATGCTTTGGAAAAGTCCTTCTTTTGTTTTCACAGAGGATGAGAACCTGTGGATTGCTTCTAGACCAATATGGTGTAATAGACTACACCTTCCTGAAAGGTTGCTGTGAACACCCTTAAAAATTACTTTATTCAGCTGCCAACTGAGATAAACCTAGCATACAGGTTTTACTGTGAAAGACCTGATTATCAGCACCAATATACAGCAGGAAGAAGTTTGGAGAGAAATAGCTACCTCCATATTCCCAAATATTGTTTATAAATGTTCTTTTACATTTAAAGGGGGATATGATATAGATATAAATAATGGATTTTTAAGGTTAATTTTGTTATATGTATATGTATTTCTGATCTTGATTAAGGTATTGTGGTTGTGTAGTTCATTTAAAAATGTAATGTATAATTAGAAAATATAGGTTGTTAATGGTTAATCATCAATAATAGTCAAGCTTGTAGTTATGTTAATTAGGTTTCCTAGATGTGCATAGATATATTTCAGATAGGCATTCTTCATATCTTTCAAAGACTACAGAATATGGCTTTTACTGTTTTAATAACTTAGGATTTTTCATGACAATGAGACACGTCTGCTCCTGGCAGCACCAATTTACTTCAAGAGGTAGACGGGCATTGAAGAAGCTCCTTATGGAGTTGGTTAGCCATTTGGGCAAGAAACTGCTCTTGCCTGGACTGTTAAATAAGGTGGACACAAGGAACCTGCAGAGAGAGGACTGCTGAACTTGCCTAAAGGTGAGATGGTCTTTTGGGGTCCCTGATTCATGAAAGTCTGTGAGACATTCTGCAGGACACAGCAGATAGTGACTGAACTGCCTTTGAAATTTCCTGCTTCATGGAAATGTCTGCTGGATACTATGGGCCTGTAGGCTGAAGATGGATGCCCCAACGGTACAGAAGAACTTTGGGTGACTGTCCAGGCAGCGAGATGTCTCTGTCATTTCTGGAGTTTTAGAAGTTGCTTACTTCTTGTTTACTTAGGTAATATTATATCCTTCTGGAGTCTTTGATGGAGTTGAAGAATGGATAGATAGTTTTCCTTAGTTATGATAAAAGAAATAAATTTATTGGTTAATAAAGAGACTGCCTTGGCCTTTGATAGGACAGCAGCTTAGATAGGCAGAGTAGACAGAACTGAATGCTGGGAGAAAGAAGCAGAAGCAGAGAGCTTTCTGCCATGAAGCTACCAGGTCAGACATGCTGAATCTTTCCTGGTAAGCCACAACCTCATGGTGAGAGACAGATTATTAGAAATGTGTTGAATAAATATATAAGAGTTAGCCAATAAGAGGCTAGAACTAATGGGCCAGGCAGTGTTTAAAAGAATACAGTTTCCATGTAATTATTTCAGATGTAAACTAGCTGGGAGCCAGATGATGGGAACTTGTCCCACTGTTCCTCCTCGCTACAGCATTCTTGACTACTGTTATGTCAAGGATACAGGCCTGGGTTGGTTTCTGTGATGCGTGAGACTTACAAAACCCTAGGTTATAGCATGAATACTTGGCTCCTGTATATTTCCCCAGGTCCTTCTTTATCAAGATCCATCAGAATGTGTTTGAAGACCCCACCCAAACTCCTGGAGCTGGCAGTGAAAAGTCTCCTGAAGAATGAGGACTTTGTTATTTCAGTACAGCAGAAGATGCCCACGGAGTTCTTTCCATCCCTGTTCAAGAAGGCTTTCAATAGCAGATGCATGAAGATACTGACCGCATTGGTGGCCTCATGACCTTATACGTGCCTCCCTGTGGGAGCAATGATGAAGGTCCCAGATGTGGTGATATTACAAGCTGTACTTGCTGGTATTGATATGCTGTTGACCCAGAAGGTTCACCTCAGGTAAGGGCAATGGAAAATAAACATGGAGTCACCTAATACCTAAAAGAGGGCATGTCCAATCAAATGAATAGGATCCATGGTGGATCAGACATATCTGTTGTTACCAGACTGGAAGAGTGTAGAAGCGCATGGAACTACTATCTAATATTTAAAAATATAGTGACTCTCCAGTAGTTTGGGGCATATCAATGTAGATGAAGCCCTAATAGGAGTAGCCTTCCCTGTCATCTCCTCTAGGTAATCAGAAGTCAACACTAACTGAAGGGAGGAAAGCAGGAAGTATATCCTGGTGTAGCTTATGCTAAGAGCACTTGTCTGACAGGTCTTGCTAAGATTAGAGAAGTGGAAGGGAAAGCTGAGTCTGTTTTAGTTATTTTTCTTTTCATTTTGACACCTTGACTTTTTCTCTCACAGAAGGTCGAAGCTTCAAGTGCTGGACCTAAGGGATGAGTGCAATCACTTCTGGGATGTATGGCCTGGACTAGAAGGTTTAGACTGCTCAAAAGGAATGCTGAGTAAGGAGCAAAAAGGCAAAGGCCTTCCTAGATATGCCCTGGGGCAACCCTTGAAAGTAGTGACTGATTTTGTCCTAAAAGATGAACTGGATGAGCAACAAGCATACTTGCTGCAGTGGGCTCAGCAGCAAAAAAGGTCTGTGAAGCTCTACTGTAAGAAGATGATAGTCTATAAAACTCCTGTGCAGCTTATCAAGGCCATCTTGAAAACCTTCCCACCAGACTCTGGAGGAACTTGTTTTATCCAGAAACTGGAGTCTGGCCACACTGAGTAGTTTTGCACCTTCCTTAGGTCAGATGAGAAATTTACACAGACTCCATCTACACAAAATTTATGAGTACACTGACATAGGTAGAAATCCTTTGTCAGATAGAGAGAAGAAACGTGAATCTAGGTTCCTGTCTAAGATCTTCGAATTAAGCTGTCTCAAGCACCTCTCGATGGATGATGTATTCTTTTCTGATGAGCTCCTGAAACACTTGTGCAGGTAAGAAATGATAAAATGCTGTTTTTGTAAACATAGGAGAACGTCCTCTAGTACATAGAGATTATTGAGCACCTGAGAATAGCCAGGCACTGTGAATTTCACAATGATGCTCTCTGTATGGTCTTGATTCCATCTTAACCAGTCAAAACACAGTTGCTTCAATGACCATTCATCATTCAGTGGATGAGCTTTCATTAGAGAATTGCACAGAGATTTCTTTCTAATAGGTGGACTATTGAGTCATGTGTTATCTTTTGTGGGTGTATTATATATACTTCTTTGGGGTTTGGGTACCCTGAAAATTAGGAAACAGGAGGGAGCAGGTTTTCCTAAGAAAAGCAAAAGTTATATTGGTAGAGTTAAACTGGGGATCTCTGTCCACATAGCTTTGTGAAGAGTAATCCAGTTTCAATTCTCATGTGGACTGTCAGTCAGTTTTTCTCTCCATGTGGAGGGAAGGATGATCTTAGTAGAGCTTTGAGCTTACTAGATAGGAACTTGACAACAAACAGCTGATAGTGATGGTCAGTTTTAGGCTTGAAGTAATGAGAAGGACATAAGCAATGTTGGGAAGGTGTAGCTACACTAAGTTTTGTAGGACACATGTCAAGAGACTTCCAGAAATAATCAAGATGAGGTCCCCTTGCTTGTGTTCTTCAAGGTTCCATTGACCAACTCTGGTTCTCTGACATAGTGAAAATGAGAAGCTGCCTAGCATTTTTCTGAGCCTCTCCTATGCTAATGAAACGGGCCTGAGAAGGCAATGGGCTGTCCCTAGTGAGCAAACACCAAGAGGATGCCCATTGGCTGTTGAACTCCAAGATAAGAAAGACAGATTTTGATTCAGTGTTCCCCTGCCCTGGGTGATGTTTGTATCAGGTTGACAAAGGATAGAGTCCTCTGAGAAGCGGGAACCTCATATTGAACATCCACTTACAATATTTTTTCAGGCAAGCATGTAGGCAATTTCTTGCACTTAGGGATTGATGAGGGAGGGTAAAGTTCATTATGTCTTGAGCTATTCCTGAGCTAGCATTTCTGTTTTTTTTTTCCAGAAAGCAGGGTGAGCAGGACATGGTAGGGAAACCGTAATCATTGTTTCTACGTGGCATCTCTGTATACATCCTGCTTGTACCCTGTTTCTCTTCCTGTCCTGACTTCCCTCTGGGATGGATTGTTCATTTCTAAACTTCAGGTGAACAAATCTTTTCATCTCCTAGTTGCTTTGGGTCATTTTGTTTTGTTCTAGCAGTAGAATCCTGTAACATGAGGAGCCGGCTTGTTGGGGTTTCTGTCCCGCCCAGTACCCCACAACCGGCAAGCCCCAAAGGAAATTACACACAGGACTCCATAAGATTATAAATTGATTGGCCCTTAGCTCTGGCTACTTATTAGCTCTTATAACATATATTACCCCATTATCCTTATCTACATTAGGCATATGGCTTGGTACCTTTTTCAGTGTGTCAGCTTACATGTTGCCTCTTCAGTGGTCTGCACAGGAATGGCTGAGGGAGCTTCTGCTTCCAGAATACTCCCAGTCTCTTTTCTCCACCCCTACTTCCTGTCTGGCTTTCCCGCCTAAACTGCATGCCTGGCCAATCAGCATTTTATTAAAATATGATTGACAGAATACAGACAATTCTCCCACACCAGAATCCAAACGCAGTTATCTGCTCTGTAGAAGTATACACATGACTAGGCTTTCTCATGCTGTTTGACAGAAGTAATCTCTTGTTCTTTGCCTAGATCCATGAAGTGCCCCATGGAGTCTCTTTCCATCCAACGCGGCAGGTTGTCTGAGCCAGACCTGGAACATTTGTTTTTGTGGCCAAGGCTTTATCAGCTGAAACATCTGAAGCTATGTAGTCTATCATTACTCCACTTAAGTCCTACACATCTCCAATTTCTCCTTGAGAAGGTAGCAGACAGTCTGCAGATTCTGGAGTTAAAGAACTGCTTGATCAGAGATTCTCAACTTAATGCCCTGCTGCCTGCCCTGAGCAAGTGCTCCAAGCTCAATCAGGTCAATTTTCTCGACAGTAACATCTCTACATCTTTTCTGAAGGACCTTCTGCATTGCATGGCCAATCTAAGCACGCTGACTGACTAGTTCTACCCTGCTCCATTGGAGTGCTATGATCAAGTGGGTCATATCCTCATGGACAAATTTGCCAATCTGTGTCCTGATCACCTGAACTCAGGTCCAAAAGACATCCCAAGAAAGGCTCATTTGGTACAAAATTCTGCCATAAATGTTTCCGGCGCTGTGTCTATGACCTGAGGACTGGACTTTGTCCTTGTCATAAAAGGTGTAGGATGCTTTTGTATACTGAGAAATGAAATTGTGTGTTTATGACTTTCAATAAAGTGTCCAAGAACATGGCTTCTGGTAGTCTTTGATTCGTCATGAATAAAACTGTTTCTGGGGAAACAGGTCAGATGGGCTAAATTCATTCTTGGGCTCCAAAAAGGTGTCATCTGTGCCTGGCTCCAGGAGCAGACAAGGCCAAAACTGTGATTGTCACAGATTTGGTGAGTGATGGTGCAAATGTGTGTAAGGTACTCGGATTCCCGGGGATTGCTGGGTGGAGGTGTGGCATGGGATGTGCTTTCCAAAGCTAGGGCCTAGATTGAAGACAATCCATCTGGAAAAACAGACATGTCCTTTCCACGGATATTCTGGGCCTAGGCTTTTTTGGCCCAAATATTGATGGAGTATGGTTGCACATGTAGGGAGACTGTGGTGTTCTCTGAGGCTGGTGGGTTGTGTTTGGGCACATGATGTGACACTCTGGGCTAGAACCAAGAGAGCATAGCCTCCCTGATTTAACCAATGAGCATCTGTCAATATAATCTATGGTACAAATGAATTGAATAAAAAAAGACATGATTATATCACTAGAGGATAAAAAAATCCTCTGACAATATAAAATGCCTCTTGTAAGTTACAGGTCTTGGAGGGAACAGGGATATAAGGAATGTAGCTAAACCTAATAAAACACTATACAACGAGCCAAAATCCAACAAGAAATAAATGGAGAGACATTCAAAGTGATTACACTGAAAGCAGGAAGAAGATAAGCCTGTCCACTCTTTCCATATCTACTCAACGTTATACTTGTATTTCAATGTATAGCATTAATTGAGCAACAGGAGATCAAGTGTATTTAAACTGGAAAGAAATGATTCAAATTTTCACCTCCTCTCTGCCTACCTTTTCTCTCCCCCTCCCCACCTCCCCCTCCCTCTCTAGTCCTAAGATCGGTCAGAGTTCCCTGCCCCGTGGGAAGTTCAAGGTCCTTCCCCCTCCATCCAGGTCTTTAAAGGTGAGCATCCAGTGATGGTCTGTTTTGGGATTGAAGCAAGAAGTAGAAGAACATAAGCTATGTTTGGAAGGTGTAAGTACACTAAGTTTTGTAGGGCACATGTCAAGAGACTTCCAGAAATAATCTGGTCTAGGAATTCTTTGTTTGTGTCCTTCAAGGCTCCATTGGCCATCTCTGGATTTCTGACCTACTCAAAATGAGAACCTGCCTACTTAGGTTCTGAGCCTCTGATGTGTGATGAAATGGGCTTGAGTAGACAATTTTGTGACCCTCGTGAGCAGACACCAAGAGGCTTCTCCTTGGCCCTTGAGCTCCAACATAAGAAAGACTCATTTTGATTTGGTGCTCTCCTGACCTTGGTGGTGTTTGTAGAAAGTTGACCAAGGATAGAGTCCTCTGAAAACTGATTTGAAAACCCCAAATCAAAAAATTCATTTATAATATTCCTACTGTAACATGAGGGGGCCTGCTTTTTGGGGCTTCTTTCCCGCCCTGTCCCCCAGCTGTTTAGTCCCAGAGAAAAATCACACTGAAATCTCTAAAAGTTATAAAGCTGATTGGCCCATTAGGTTAGGCTTCTTACTGGCTAACTCTCACATCTTGATTAATCCATTTTTCTGATCTATGTTAGCCATACGGCTCAGTACCTTTTTCAGCTGGGGCAGATCACATCCTGCTGCCTTGGTGATCTGGGCAGGAGTGGGAGGAATCAACTTCCTCCTCCCCAGAATTCTCCTGTTCTCCTTGCACCATTTCCACTTCCTGTCTGGTTTTCTCACCTACACCTCCTGCCTGGCCAATCAGCATTTATTTAAACATGATTGACAGATTACAGACAATTCTCCTGCACCACCTACAGGTAAGGATGTAGGCAATTTCTTACAGTTAGGATTTAATTAAAGAGGGCAAAACCCACTGAATCTGCAGACATTTCTGGGCTAGCTGTTCTGGGTTCTTTAAGAAAGCAGGGTGAGCAGAACATGGCAAGCAAAGTCATAAGCAGCATTTCTCCATGGTCTCTCTGTACACATCCTGCTTCCAGGTGGCAACTATGTTAGTCTTTCTGTCCTGACTTTCCTCTGGGATGGATAATACATTTCTAAACTTCAGGCCAACAAATCCTTTCAACTTTTAATTGCTTGGGTCATTTTGTTTTTTCATATAAATAGAATCCATAATAAAGTTATCCACTCTGTAGGAGTGTGCACATGCCTGTGTTCTTCCATGCTATTTGACAGAAATAATCTCTTGTTCTTTGCATAGATACCTGAAGAGCCCATTGGCATCTGTTTCCATCAAATTCTGCCAGTTGTCTAAGTCAGACTTGAAAATTCTATCCTGGTGTCAGAGGCTTTTTCCGCTAAAACATCTGAACCTATGTGCTGTACTATTATTCGACTTAAGTCCTACACATCTCCAATTTCTCCTTGAGAATGTAGCATACACTCTGCAAACTCTGAAGTTAGCGCACTGCATGATAAGAGAATCTCAGCTTAGTGTCCTACTACCTGCCTTGAGGTAGTGCTCCAAGCTCAACAGGGTCAACTTTTATGACAATGGCATCTCTGCATCTCTCCTGAAAGACCTTCTGCAAAGCATGGCCAATCTAAACATGCTGACTGAGGAGTTCTACCCTGCCCTACTTGAGTGCTATAATAAAATGGGTCATATCCTAATGGACAAATTTGCCAATCTGTGTTCTGAGCTCTTGAATATACTCAGGTCCAAAGTACATTCTAAGAAAGTCTCATTTGGTACAGAAATCTGCCGTATATATTTCCAGTGCTGTGTCTATATGACCTGAAGACCAGACTTTGTCATTGTCATAAACAGGTGTAGGT